TATTATTTTCAATTTTAATTTCGTTATTGTTTCCACATCACTCATAATAAAGGGCATTCAATATGGTGTTGCCCCTTATGAGGCGGAAGCTAGGGGAGAGGTTGATATTTGTATTGATAGATGACTCGGATCTTATACTATATGGCTGTCTCGGAGTGAGTTATCTATTAACCGCTTCTTGCTATATCTTATCCATTATAAAACGCAAGCACTTAGCAACTTATAGCTTTTTGACCCACTTGCAGCAAGGAGCTCTCCTCCGAGTCAGTCGCATTTCCCAAATTTCTTGCATTTCTTGTTCCTCCCAGTCTGTTGCATTTCCCCAATTTTTTTGCATTTCTTTTTCCTCCTAGTCAGTTGCATTTCCCCAATTTCTTGTTCATAATTGGAAATGCGGTGTTGGATTTAGTATCACGAAAGCAAGAAAACCTTTCATGAAAGGAAGAAAATATTTTCTTCAAAATCTGTTTGGAGTTCGCCCTAGAAATAAAAAAGATAATTTTTTTTTTGCTAAGTGTTTAGTGTGTCATGAAATCAGCTGGAAGAGTTATGGTCGATTTGAGAAGTGTTTTTATTTAGTTATGCCCACAATAAACACATGAAGTGCCGTAATGCTATAATCGTTTAGTTTTTCTGTTATGAGATGTCCTACTTCAGGTTCATACACGAAGAGAGTGAATTTGAAGAGCTAAAAAAACATACTTTGCACGCTTTTCCTCCTCTTCCTTCTTCATCAGAAGGCGATCTCCATTAAAAACAAGAATTGGTCTAACTTCATTTACCTTCGAGTTCAAACCCAGAATGTTCAATTGTTTTCTCGAATCTTTAGTGTGTTTTTTCCCTTGTCTACTTATCTTATTGGTTTTCTTGCAAATCCTAAACAATAAAGAGTTGTGCATTTTTCCCTTTGTACATGATAGGGGCCTTTTCGTCCCTAAGTTTTAGAGCATATTCAAATAAATGGTTAATGTCATGAAAAACCCCAAACTGATACACCTATCACAAATTTATCCCAAACTAATTTTTTGACCATAAAAAATCCAAAACCGGTATACCTATGACTTATTTACCCTAAACTAATCTTTTCACCACCAAAAACCCCAAACTAGTATATTTGTGACAAATTTACCTTTTGTTAAATTAGATTAATATCACGAAAAATCACAAAATGGAACACATGTGACAGACGGAGAGTAGAACCCCAAACTGGTACATCGTCAACTGTCACGTGTCATCCAACTCAGAAATTTGACAGTAAAATTTAACCGAAACTAACATAAAGTAAAATTGTCACAAATATACCAGTTTAGGATTTTTTGTGATAAAAAAATTAATTTTAGGTAAATTTGTCATAAGTGTACCACTTTGGAGTTTTTCGTGATATTAACCGTTAAATAAAATTAAATTTCTGTTTATCTAGGCATCCCCTCCTCACTTTTTTGTGTCCTAAGCCTTTAAATATCCAAACTGTAGAGAAGGTTTATGGCTACCTTGCTTACATAGGTCTAAGGACAAAAAACTTCCTCGTGCTAACGAAGAGAAGGCTAAAGGAAATATTGGAGTTGCTCATCAATTCTATAAAAAAGCAACAGATATCACGCCTTTTATGGCACATGAGCTAATAAATGTATGAAAAATACTCCTGGTCGGTTAAAATAAGTTAAAATATCATTCCTAATGAATTTATCGCATTTTGATTGGTGTGATTTCATGTGGAAGGTCTTGAAGAAGAAATATGTTGTTGCCCCTTACGAGGTGGAAGCTCAAATTGTTTTTTATGGCACTCAGGGAGAGGTTGAATTTTTAATAAGAGACTACTCAGATCTTATACTATTTGGCTCGCATGATTAAGCACAGTTGAGGATGAGGGATAAACTTGAGTTACCTAAGAAGAGAAGAACTTAGCGGAAATGCGGCCATGAATCTGGCGGCGATCACCCATGCGTAGCCTCTTCTCATGCGAATTTCCATCGCAGATCGTCGAGGTTTGTTACCGAGTGGAAGATGATGAACGATCTGGAATGGATAAAAAAGAGGGGCCATGATGAAGGGCAAGTTAAATTTCGGAAATTAATTTTAACTTTTTAAGGCGGGTAAATCAATATTAGGAATTTTAATCTTTTTTATGGAGACAGTTTATATCAACTCATTTTCTTGCGATATTAGTCACAAAGAATGAAGCTAGGCGAGATCTATCTCGCTTTGAGATTGGGGAAGTGAGGAAGGGTTTTATCTTGCCCCCACTGAGACGCGTGTAGAGGTAATGTTTCGGTCCAACACAAGGGAGGTGAGAAAGGGTTTTTATCCGTTCGCACTTATTTGTTGGATATCATGTACGAAGACCCTCTTGGGTCTTGAGGTGCTTTGAGCATTTCTGAAATGCAAGTACATTTTTTTTCTTTTAACTTTGTCATCGCTAAATTATCGTAATTTTGGAAATGTCTCCACCTCATGAGATGTCGCTGACGAGGGTTTAGACTGCCAGTGAGGCCAGATTTGGCGCTGGCCAAGGCTTGGGTCATGCAATCCAAGCAATCGGCGCTTGGGTTCACGTAACCCCAGGTGGCGCCAAAGGTCGGGTGACCTTAGGCAACTGTGAACCTAGGCAATGGTCACTTGGGTTCTTTCAACCCTAGGCGAGGCTGGCCGGTGGGTAAATCTGGCCACCGCCAGTGCCATGGGTGGTTTGAAGAATTTCAAAAAAAATAGCAAAAATCCTTTACAAAGTGTATTTTTTCCGAACGGCGTTTAAGTCAAAATTACTTCCCAATATATTTTTAATTACACTTTACCAAACACTATTTGCATTTGGAAAAATCCTTTTACCTAAAATCATTTACATTTTTTCTAAGGGTTTTCGCCAAAATTGTTTCCAAACGCATAATACTCATGATGGGGGTGTAATCCTTGTAATCAACGTAAAAAAGGATAAAATTGGTTTTACTCACGGTCATATCAATTAACTTTCCAAGATTTTACCGAAAGCCTCTTTGCATCCTCTACTTTAAAAATTATATGTTTACCTCTTGACGAACGTGTATTACCATATTGCCGTTTCCGTGCCTAAAATACTCATAGTCCCCTTTGCTATGTCATATCCAGAATCCAGAATCCAGAATCCTAGACTCACTCCTCAAACCTTAATCCTGTTGCTTGGATCCTTAGCTTTCAGTTAGCTTTCGGTTAAGGGGTAACCTCGTTAAGGAAAGGGAGTCGAAAACTTCAACTCAGGAGTGTTATGCCCCATCTCTACTGTGAGCGGACTCGTGACTACATGCTTTATTTTACATCTGAGTGCCCGGACACCTGGAGTTCCCCCAATTCCCACCAATTTTTTTTCTTCCCTAGCAAGAGGGAATACCCCCTAGTTACGTGACTTGCTGGAGTATTGGAGGCTTCAATAGTTTAGCACCGTGTTCAGGACATAATCAAATAACTCATATAAGCAACAAAAGAACCATCCTCATCTTGATGGCTTCTATTCAGTTGGTGCCGTAATCATCTTATTAGTACTTTCACGATGCAATGCGGAATATTATCCATAAAGTTACTTACTTTAACCAAAAAAAAAATATTATCTATAAAGTCAAAAATTTATTACACTTTTGTCAATTCCTAAACCACTAACCACAAGCGAGGGCCAACTACTCTTCCCCAACTAGGGCTAGTGACGCCCTCTCTGGCCACACGCAGGGGCATTATGGCCCTCACCCAGACCAAGTGAGTCATAGCCCTCGTCGACCAACAGGCAAGGGTGTCGGCCCTTGCCTGGATCTGGGTGAGGGCTCGACGCTCTCACCTAGGCTGGGTGAGGATCGCTGGAAAAAACGAAGAAAAGAAAAGAATAAAAAAAATTAAAAATTTTGGAAAATATTAAATATTATTAAAATTTATCTACGTCAGCGCATGCCGTGCCATGTAAGACGGCCGACATCTATGTCAGCAATTTCCGATCAATTTTGGCCGGAAGGACTCAATTAACAAAACGTGAAAATATTTATAACTCAATCGATACAATCAAAATATTTATTACTGAATTGGTAAAAGTGTAATAGCTTTCGGACAATTTATGCTTGCTAATTGCCAAACACATTATCCGCTTCCGATCTCTATCCCTATTTTCTCACCAAGAAGTACCTACGCCTACCTACACCATCAACTTTCAAACAGCTACCCTCTTTTGTCATACCTCTTCCTTTTATCCAATTTCAATTTCAGAGATCTAAAAAATATCTGTCCCTGTTCCAACCCACAAGAAGGAAAAAGGCCTCAGATCGGCAAATCCGGGATCAGACTGGTCCGAGCCGATCACGAAGGATGCAATTTCCTCTAGTCAAAACATCGCAAGACGGTCCAATACGGCGACGTTTGACCTGGTCAAAACCCACGGGCTTTGCCCCGCTCCGTGATGCAAAAACGACGTGCGCATTACATGGGCGGCACCAACTCCTGACGATGAAATCGGACCAATACCAAGTCACGTCAGACGTGTGCCATGACGTCATCCTCTAGCCCCCCGTACCTAATTTATTAATATTTTATTCCCCCCAGATATATTAGTTACACACATAGTAAAAGAATAACAAAAGCACTAAAAATAAAACCAGAGACTTTGAATAATAGATTAAGCCAGATATTAATTGCCCATCAGTAAATAAAAGATAAAAAAATATTCGCGATCCACAGGATAATTTCAGTTTTCAATTGATTTTCCAAATTCGTTCATCTCTCAAGCGTTTTACTCTGTATTTTTCTTTTATTGATTTGTGAAAGGTAATTTCAGTTTTAAATCTAAGAAGAAAAATCCGTCCTGATAAATTAAACCGCGAAATTCCAGAGAATATTCTGGGAATATTCGTTTTCCCGGCGGACCAATCGCAGCCCGCGAGCGCCCTCTATATAAACCCTCCTCCGCACCGTCTCCAACCTTCTTCGACCTCTCTCTGGTTTGCGCGTTCCTCCGCCGTCCTCCGCCGTGTCCGTCGCCAGCTAAGCGCTCGCTCGCTCGCTGTCTCTGTGTCTATTTCCGTTGCCGTCGTCTTCGTTTTCCCGTGCCCTTTCGTTTGCGTTTTGGGCTGAGAATCGGAGGGACTCTGTGGGGGAGCTCTAGGGTTTTCAGATGTGGGAAATCGAGTCGTGACGTCCATGAATTACGCGCTCCTCAAGTTCCGGGTCCGGATCCTGCACTCCTTCTCGGTGGTGTTCCTGTACTGGTTCTACGTGTTCTCATGAGCCCGTCTCTACCCGATTGATCGCCATCCCTTACCTCCCTTTGATTCGATCGGAAATCGTCGTTGTCCGAGAAAGCGAAATCGAAGTAATTCCCGATACGCGCGGATACCCTTTGATTAGTCGGTTCTGAATTTGGGTGATTTGCTCGAGGCGGGAAGGCCCCTTGAAGAAATGGGTTCGGTTCGGCGCCGGGCGAGCTCGGGATCCGATAGCGACCCGAGGTGCGGGCCGGCCAATGATAGGAAGAGGAAGAGGATGGAGTCCAACAGGGAATCCGCCAGGCGCTCGCGGATGAGGAAGCAGAAGCAGATGGAGGATTTGGTCGGGGAATTGGGGCAACTGCAGCAGGCTAACGTTCAGCTCGCGGCGAGCATCAATGCCGCCGCGCAGAAGTATGCCGAGGTCGAGTCGGCGAACAATGTCCTTAGGGCCCAGGCTGTGGAACTTGCTGATAGGCTCCGGTCCCTGAACTCGGTGCTCGAGATCGTGCAGGTGGTCAGTGGGCTCGCGGTTGATATACCTGAGGTACCTGACCCGTTGATGAAGCCCTGGCAGTTTTCCTGTCCGATACAACCCATCATGGCATCTGCAGACATGTTTGAGTGCTGATGTATCATTCGCCGTCGAATTTTAGAGTCTCTTTACCTCTGTGGTTGGTTGTGGTTGGTGCTTAGATTGTCCAATGTCTATAATGTTCATACTTAGTCTTGTTGGCAGTAGTAAAATGTCGGTATCGTGTCTCGGACTGGATCGGCTCTCTGTTGTATCAGTGGGTCGTATTCGCCCTAATTAGCTTAGCTTTCGAAATTTCCATGATGTTGAATGGTTGTAAGAAACCTATATTTGCAGTCTGTGGACGAGTCATGTTGCGATTCTGTAACCCCGTGCCTCTTTCAGCAGGATATAATTTCTGAGTTTTTCATTGCTAGGGCGCCTGGATATGATTTCTTCATTTCTCCCGCGGTAATGCTAGCACCAAAGGGTATATAGATTGGTTTGTAAATTGCTGTTCATCAGACGATGCGGTAGACTATGTGACTCTGTTGAACAAGATGGACATTTTCGAACTATCCGATAGGAGTTTGCCTCACGATTGTACATACCCATAACCATTTTTGTTTGCGAGATTCCGTTGGATCGTTACGTGGTTTCCTAGTTCGTGCTATGCTGTTCCGCAGTCGGACGAGTTAAGACCAGGAGTTGCTATTTTTTAACTGCTTAGAAGATATTATATTGCGAGATATGACTTGTCTTGTGTCCTGTATCTTGTCTCGCATGCAGTTGGTCTGTTTTCTGCTAGTGATAGGAAGATCACAATTCTTGTTGGTCTCTGTGTCCAAATTATTTAGCGGGTTAGTTTTTGCTCTGCCTGGGATGCTTCGTCTCCCCTTCTCACTTGCGAATTAGTGAGAGTTAAATCAGGATACGCATTCCTTCGACCAAAAAAAAATAATAATAAGTATCCGCATCCACTGCTAATTGTGTTGGTGTTGATCAGTATATTACATCACATCATGTCAAAATAATTGTCTATCTCACATAGCCACAAGGTTTCCGTACCAGTTCTCGATGTCGAGAAATGACGTCTTTACAAATTTTGAAAGTGGAAATGAAGGTTATTTGATTCATCTTTCTCGATAATGTGATACATACAAATCAGAATGCTCGAGATGCATACGTCCTTAGACACATACACTGTTACTTTTGATGTACAACTTGAACACGATAAATAAGTCGGACTAGTACATGACCCCGAAACTCACTTATTCATTATACGTTATACCCTCCTATAGCATGAAATGGGTACATGATTGTCGACCCATGACACTTGAGTGCAGGTGTTATTCCTGCTCTTTCGCAGAGAATTAGAGGTGCTTTTGAAGAAGAGATGAACCACTCGACCAAAGAGAGAGAAGTATCACTAAACCAATTCTCAACTCGCTATGAGAGAAGTATCACTCAACCAATTCTCCAACTGCTGATCCTTGCTTCCAATGCTACAACATCGAACCCCTGGGATGTACAACTACAGATTATGCGTTGCCTCCGTTTTACCTTGACAGGTTTCGTGTTTCTCCATTGCAACAAGTATCAGCTTGCAAAACCAACAATCTAACCAAACCATTAGGCAAGTACATCTCGCATGGCATGTGACTGCGTCAAACTTCAACTCATGTTAAACGTTGCAATCGCATTGGAGTGCCTCTCCTGCACTTGCTCTCATTGGTAAATAATTTCTCTCACAAAGCTGCAAACCAACAACAAAATTTCGAAACTCCTAAATTGACCTCGATTTTTTCGTTTCCAGGAGTCGATCACTCGGCTTGCTGACTACGTGAAAAATGCATTTGTTTTCCTTGCCGATTTCCACTATCTCATTGCCTATGCTTATCCACTTGTCTTGTGAAGACTAAGCACCATTTTTTTTTCACCACAACCCTGTTACGAAACTATCTTGATATCGTGGGAGAAGAATAGGTCCATGCAAAGCTGCATCCGACATCCACCAACTACACGTTGGTAGTGCCTAGCAAAAACCCAATACCATCACATGGACAGATCGCCAAGTTCGAGCCCGTCAACAAACCCAGTTGGATCCACACATACTCATAAGCTTAAACCAATGATTACGGGCCAACTATGATATATTAAGTACTTCATACCACATCAATTCTTCGACACATGCATCTTAATAATCTCTTCCTCACGTGTGAGCTTAATGTCAGGTATACTCCCCCTTAATCCATGAATTCTTTTGCACCAACAGGTTGCCACGAATCAACCATCGGCTCTGATAATATTTGTTGGGAGCGCGCAGCAAAAGCCAAGAGATAGCTCGAGTCTGAGCCCGTTAACATATCCAGTTAGATCCACTTTTACTCAAAAACTTAAGCCAATGAGTTATTGGCTAACTAAGATATATTAACTACTTCACACCATACCAATCTCCCGTTGTGGGACTTCTACTAACACAACTCATACATACATCTCAACAAATCATGTATTTTTGGAACAATAGTTAGTCTAGCCCCATCTAGAAGCACTCAACCTGCAATGATTGAAAGACAAGTATTAATAACTAAAGGATACTCTAATCGAGCTACAAAGCTAGCGATACATTTCCAGCTCTATCACCATCCATAGAGGCTCCTCAACAGTTTGTGCACATAAAACCACTTAAGTTCCCTCAAAAGAAACTATATTCTCTCAAAATAGGGTAAATTACAATAGGTTCACATATTTTGATTGAATTGCATTTAGAGACGCAAACTTTCAACTTCAACAAATAAAACCTAACTTTAACATACTATTTCTAGTCCTTCAGTTTGGATTTTGTTGATGTCACAATATAATTAGTGACTAAAGTGGATATGCCACTACAAAATGCTGGGTCACTCGCATCTCTTAAACTGTTCCATTTTCGCATTCCATGGATCAGAATTCTACATGTAGGTAGCGAAATTGTTAAACTGAACAACTTTAGAGTGGCGCTAAGCTGAAATTGACAAATAAAAATACAAAGCAAACAGAAATACACTCCACCCATGATACCACACTGTTCTGGCAAGCGGAATACAGGTCAGTCGTGAGTCATGCCTGTTCTTAAGAATGTACGTCTCGCTCGCAATAGTATATGGCTTTACAAGACAGAAAGCATCCTTGATAAGAGCAAATTTACTCTCTTTATAACTTGAGGACGTGCCAGAATTTGTGAAAAAAATAATTTCATCTGGATAGCCTAATCAAGGCTAGGCCTTCTTTAGATGGCTGTACGTCTCGCTCGCAATAGTATATGGCTTTACAAGACAGAAAGCATCCTTGATAAGAGCAAATTTACTCTCTTTATAACTTGAGGACGTGCCAGAATTTGTGACAAAAATAATTTCATCTGGATAGCCTAATCAAGGCTAGGCCTTCTTTAGATGGCCATGAATCTCTTTGCTCTATACACTATCGTTAGCTCATGCACAAACAGTTCCATAAGTTGGCATTTGTAGGTGTTGACAATCTTGATATGAGTGAGATCTTAAAGCTGAAATTATCTGACGACGACAAAAAGTAGCTATGAAAGAATCATTTCCAGGTGAGAATATAAGGAACTAGACAGATGCTCAGCTTAAGTATGGAAGTGTGATTTAATTAGAGAGATGGAGAAGGGGAAAAGCAGACGCTCCAGCTAAATAACTCGGCAACCAATAAACAAATGATGCAGCATGATAGTAGGAACAACAACAGAAAGGCAGTGAAACTACAAATAATCTCCATTGTGGAGCGTTACCAGAGTAGCATGCCTCAAATACAGCCAGACGGTAGTTTGACCACAGAGCAACTGAAGTATGTTGTGAATAAATAAATGGCTTACTTAGTGTAGGGTCAAAAGAGATACCTGAGTGAGATCTTGGTAAAAGGAGGGCTTGTAAAGCAAGCAATTCGATCAAGTGATAAGCACATCTTCAATCACGATGCAGTGAATGTGAGAAACTAGGGGCCAATCTTTCCCTTTCTTCCGCTGGCATCTTTTCTCCAGCAAAGGGCACCCATAGATAAATAGATTGGAAAGGGAGGACGACAAGCCCTCCGCTGGCATGGATCGAAGACTTCCGCAGCCAATTATGCGAAAGTTTTTGAGACAAGTGAGGTGGTGGAGCCCTAAGTTATCCAGTGATTTTAGACCCATATCATAAATCAACAGAGTGGTAAGAGAAGCAGGCAGGATTTGTCCCTCTTTTGGGAAGGAATGGAGCTTAGGACATTCTCCAATGAACAGGTTTTCAAGGGAGCTCAGGCTATGAAGCCCTTTTGAGTTCAGGGACGTCAGATTTTCAAAGCCAACGATATACAGAGAGGTAAGAGAGGCTGGCAGAAGCCCCATCTCAGGAAATGACTCAATATTTTTCTCCTGCTCAATGACAAAAGTTTTAAGAGAGCATAGTGATTGCAGACCCCAATCCTTGCGGCCAGTGATGAGCTTGTCACAATTAGAGAGTGAAAGTGCGACCAACTTGGCAGGTAAACCCTGCTCAGGAAATGACACGAGTTGCGGACATGAGGATATTTTCAGTGACCGAAGTGAAGGAAGGAGAGCCTGCATGTTTTCTGGCAGATGCTTTAGATGACGACAGTCATTCAACTCTAATGAAGTGAGGTATGGGGCAGCCAATCCTCCTGCAGGGAAAGATCTAAATTCAGGGCAATCACTAATGTTCATCGAATGGAGAAGAAGTGGAGAACCGTCTGAATTTGAAAGATGTTCCAATTTTTCAATCTCCACTAACTGAATATTCTTAAGTGAGGGGAAAACTTCCAGAGGAAAGGATATAAGTGAATCACAACTCTTCTTCAAGTTTAGATATTGGAGAGATTCATGGCATCTGTGTATTGGCAACTCTATTTCATGACTGTCTTCAAGATTGAGTCTTGTCATGGTAGGAGGAAGAAACCTCAAGGGAAGGGTTGAAAGATTCTTGATTTCCATATCTTGTAACTCAGTGCCATTTAGAAGAGGCTCAACTCCAGAAACATTTCCACAGTCATCCAAATCGATCTTACGGAGAAGTGGCGCAAATGGTAGAGAAGACGTCAGCTGTGGGCACTTTTCAATGGACAAGGCTGATAGAGAAGGGAGATGGCTGGGTAAACCTCCACTCAACTCGGGGCAATTTATAATACAAAGCTCCTGCAGATGTGCAAAGGCAAGACCTCCTGTCCGTATTGCAAAAGAAGCCCACTCTTTCCAGCTGCACATGTCAGCAAATTCTAAATACTTCAGTGACTGAAAGGGTATACAGTTACTACCATTGAATTCATTACCCACTCTTGTTACTCCATCAAATCCCTTGATTGTCAACTTCTCCAGAGATGGTAGCTGTCCTAAAGGAGGCAATGACACACAGTGCTTGCAAGATTCAAGACACACGACAGACATATTAGAGAATAAATCATGTCCCAGCCAATCAGGAAATGACCTACCACTATAGGATATAATGATAAGCTCTCTCAAGTTCCCATGAGGTTGTAGCTTGTCCAATACATTTAAGCAATTTCGCTGCGTAATATTGTTATCAGAACCCCATTCCAGTACTAACTTTTTCAAGTACCTTTTTGCCTGCAAATTGACTATCTCGGCATCTCGATAACTCTCAACATTCTGCAAACCCTGAATGGAGAGTGCACCCATAAGATTCCCAAGCTCCCCTAGCTCCCGAACCCTGGTCCCCCCGCTTTCGGCCACCACGAAATTAGTTAATATCTGCAAATTCTTCAGTCTGTTCATCTGCAATGGCATTCTCTTCAGGAATGTCTCCCTTATATCAAGATGACGCAGACAGGTTAGGCTACCCATGTTGCTCGGTAACTCGATGAGAGACTGACAGTAAGCAAGAATTAAAGTTTGCAAGTTGTAGAGAGCAGTAATTGAATCAGGCAATCTGCTTAGACTTCTATTATAGGAAAGATTCAAATAGCGCAGATGTTTCAAACATCCAATTGAACTGGGCAAAATAGAGATTTTCTGATAATGAGACAAAGATAGCACCCTTAACTGTCTCAGGGTCGGCAACAGAACATGTAGTACCTCATCAGTCAAGAAAAAGAACTCGTTAGATGTCACATGATCCACGTTTAGTGGCAGGAAAGTACGTAAATGCATTGCCCCAGCTAACACTCTGAATCTAGAAGCGACATCATATCTTGTTCTTACAAATGACAAATGGCGAGTGCTTGAGGACACCTGGTGTGCATTGCCTCCGTCCAAGCTAAAAAAAGATTGACCAGCTACATATCTTGCTAAGTCATTGACCAGTTCATGCATTAAAAAACTTGATTCGACATCGCTCACTCTATGAAGCAAAGATCTAGAGACAAGATCACAGAAGCATTGATCACCTACTTCCTCTAATGTCCTGCTGTCCTTAGGTTGTTTTATCAAGCCCTCAGCAATCCAAAGTAAGATCAGTTGGTCCTTCTCATATTTACAATCCTTTGGGAAGATCGAACAATAAGCAAAACATCGTTTTAGTTGTGGAGGAAGGTAATGATAACTTAACAACAACGCAGGGAGAATTTCATTCTTTCCAGGTGCCAAATCCCAAATATTGCTCTCTGCAATGATTTCCCACTTTCTGATATCAGACTCAGAGCGTAACAAACTACCTATAGTCTTTAGAGCAAGAGGCAATCCATCACATCTCTTTACAATTCTTTGCCCAATATCTTCAAGTCTCGTGCGTGCCTCGAGGTTATGCTCATCAAATGCATGTTTTGCAAACAAGTCCCAACATTCTTTGTCTTGTAACTTCTGCAAAGAGTATGTTGAGACGGCACAAGCAACCGATGCGACACCCTCATTTCGTGTCGTCACGACGATTTTGCTGCCTCTTGCTCCATAGGTAAAAGGAACTAGGAACGCATTCCAAATATTGAAGTCCTCATTCCAAACATCATCCAATACCAAAAGAAATTTTTTCCCTGTCAAGAAGTTCTTCAGTTGGAGCTGAAGCTGGTTGAGATTCTCGGTCTCCTTCTTAGAGGAGGAGAATTCCTCGAGAGCCGTCGCCGTCAGCTTGCAGATGTCGAATTGGTGGGACACGGAAACCCACGATCTCAACTCAAAACTCCCCTTCACCACACCATCATTGAACACAAGCTGAGACAGCGTGGTTTTGCCAACACCGCCCATCCCGACGATGGCCATCACACTGGTGTTCTTTTCGCTCCGATCCGACAAAAGCAACTCCACTACCGCCTCCCTGTCCTTCTCTCTCCCAAAAACTCCCGATTCCTCGACTAACGAAGTGGTGGGTAGAGCTCTAGGTGTCCTCTCGCGAATACCTTCTCTTAGCCCCAACACTTGTCTCTGCTTCACCACACTCTCCAATCTCTCCAGGACCTTCTCTAGCTTATCCCCAAACCTACTCATACAAGCATCTGAAGCGAAGCTCCAAACCTTACAAGCGAGAGGCCGAGACTCGATCCCGGCTTCGCGCTTCAGATTCTCGGTGGCGATCTCGTCGAACAGGTCGTCGGCGTCGTACATGGCGTCCTTGAGCTCGTCGACCCACCTCGCGACGGAGGAGCTGGTCATCTGCTTCTCCTCCGCGTCGTCCAACACGGCGTTCGCGGACAGGAGCGCGGCCTCCAGCTTCTGCAGCAGCTTCTTCTTGCAGAGCTTGCTCGACCCGAAGAAGTCGACGACCTCGCGCGAGGCCATCCGGTCGAAGAGCACCTGGAGGAAAGCGGAGAGAAATGCTCCGCCGACCACCGCCGCCGCCATGGATTTTTGCAGGATGCCGGAGAAGCTGGAAGCGGTCGGAGAGGAAGTGAAGATCGAAGATCGATGGGTGACCGCTTGGTTGACATTTTTTCGTTGATAACATGGACATTGCCCGGTTGACGTAGGTTGACCAATAGAAAATTTTTAATAAGGGCGATAAGTGATCTCATTTTATTAAATAAGGGTTTGAAATAAATTTTATATCAAATAAAGGACCTGTTTGGTTCAGCTTTCGAATGCTAATTTAGGGGTCTAAAGGGCCCATTTGATTCAGCATTTGGAAGGGGCTTTTGGTCTCGAAAGCCCCTTGGCCAAATGCTGAACCGTTTGGTTTAGCATTTGAATCAACATTTGCCAAATGCTTGCATTTGGAATGCTGAAAGTCCAAAGCTGGTCCGGATCAGATCTGGGCTTTCAGCATTTGGCAAATGCTAAACCCAAATTTTTTATCCCCAAACTACCCTTAGTTATTTTGGCTTATTCCGATTTTGCCCATCGTGTGTACTATTCATCTTCTTCTTCGTGAGGTGGCCGGCGAGGCGGCTAGCGCCAAGTTGGGCCAGCAAGAGGCTGGCGGTCGTCGCCCGAGGCCGGGCGACCCTCGGCGAGGGTCGCGGGACCAGGCAGCCGCCGCATGGGTCGCACGACCTCGGGCGACCACGCATGGGTGGCGCGACCTCGAGCGGCACGCATGGGTGGCGCGACCTCGAGGCGGCCTTTGGGTCGCGCGACCTCGAGCGGCCCCGCATGGGTGGCGCGACCTCGGCGGCCGCATGGGTGGCGCGACCTCGGGCGACCGCACTTTGGGTCGCGCGACCTCGAGCGGCCGCATGGGTGGCGCGACCTCGGGGCGGCCGCTTTGGGTCGCGCGACCCAGACGGCTAGCCGCCGGAGGTCGCGCGACTCAGAGCGGCCGCAGGTCTGCGACCCTCGCCAAGGGTTACCAGGCCTCGGGCGACGGCCGCCGGCCCCAGATCTGGCCCGCCGGCGGTCACCTACCTCAAGCGACGGCCGCCAGCGCCAGATCTGGCTCGCCGGTGGCCTGCCGACGGCCGGCCGGCGTCGGCTCCGGCGAAGGGTAAGTTAAGTTTTTTATTCCCAAAGTCCATTTGCAAAAATAATTCACCAAACACTATATTTTGCCCAAAGTAGCTTTATAAAATATTTTTACCAAACACCATTTGCATTTCCCCAATAGGCTTTCACCCAAAGGTATTTGCATTCCCCCAAATAGCATTTTCAAAATTGAACCAAATGGGCCCAAAGTCTCTTGAGCAAATGCAAAGTTGTTTGATAAATTTTTTGGCAAGTTTTGTGGAGATGAAATTGCATCTCCAAAGCTTTCCAAGGACCTTTGACTGAATGGAGCTCATGAGGAGCCTTGGCAAGTTGCATTTTCGGAATGCAATCGGTACTGTTCATCGTCACTGTTCATCATCTTCCCGAGCGGCTGGTCCGGCGGTCGGCAACCACCGCCTAAGGGCTAGCGCCCCGGTGATCGCCGCCTGGGGGTCGCGCGGCCCTAGGCGGCGGTTGCTTGGGTAGCGCGACCCAGGCGACACCTGAGGTTCGGCGACCCCAGGCGGTGGTCGCCGGGGCTGCGCGACCCCTAGGCGACCGCCACCTGAGGTCAGGCGAGGCTGGCCGGCGGTAGTGGTCGGTGGCTAGCTTTTTTTTTTTTTTTTAATATCAGCAAAAGTCTTTTACAAATAATTTTTACCAAACGGTATTTAGGCCAAAGTTGCATTCAAATGTGATTTTAAAATACACATTACCAAACATTACTTGCATTTCGGAAAATCATTTTAGCTCAAAGGTCTTTGCATTTTGCCAAATGCATTTCCCAAAAGTTAAACCAAACAGGCCCAAAGTTTAAAGTGGCCAAGTCGTCTCAAATAATGACTTTTGGCCGGGCGATAACTATTCCGGCGTCAAAGAAGGGTAATTTTAGTCAAAAAAATTTAAATATATTTTTAAAATCTTTTTATTTTTTTACTTTCTTTTTTTTCCTTTTTTCTTTTTCTCTCTTTCGGCCATCACCGGAGACCTCCGTCGGCCTCAGGCAAGGGCGGCCCTCGTCGACGTCCGGCAAGGGTTGCCCTTGCCTGAGTTCGGCGACTTCCGCCGGCGACAAGCAGAGGAAAGAGGAAAAAGAATAAAGAAAAGAAAAAAACATAAAAAGGAAAAAAGAAAGGAAAGAAGGAAAAAAAAATTTAAAAAGTAAATGACCAAAATGCCCTTAAGCCAACAAGATCATACCCTTTTTAGGATTAATTCCAAAAAAAGCACCAACTTTAGGTCGAGAACAATTTCCAACTTTTTTTGTTCCATAAAAAGCATCAACTTTAGGTCGAGGACAGTCGCCCGAACTTTTTTGTCCCATAAAAAATACCAACTTTAGGTCGATGGACAATTTTGGCCCGAACTTTTTGTCTCGTAAAAAACACCAACTTTCATTTAAATCCCAAATTTGGCACCCCATTGATTTTCTGTCAAGTTACCCTTGTTTGAGAAAAAAGTTATGGTGGTGAGCCCGGTGAATCTTTTCCATGGCGTATGTCGACAGGCGGTGGTCTACAGCTTCAGATTACGATAAAACGACGAAGTTTGGCCAGAAAGATTCAATCTGGAGATATTTTTGACTTGCCGGTGAAATGAAGGAGATGAACAGTTTCACCATTATTTTTCAAGCTGTGGTTTAGAAAATAAGACAATGAATAATGCTTTAAATCCGATCGCAAGTCACGTGGATTTATTACTAAGGTGGAATAATCAAGTTGGAAAATCAATGGTTTTAAGTCAATAAGGGCCGATTTGGGATTTAAGTGAAAGTTGGTGCTTTTTACTGAGACAAAAAAGTTCGGCGAATTGTCCCTCAACCTAAAGTTGGTGCTTTTTACGGGACAAAAAAAGTTCGGCCATAATTGTCCTTCGACCTAAAGTTGATCTTTTTATGGAACAAAAAAAAGTTCAGGCCAGAATTGTCCCTCGACCTAAAGTGGTGCTTTTTTTTTAATTAACCCCCCTTTTTTAAGACTAATAAACCACTTTAGCCTTTTATTTGAGACAAAGTCCACTTCAGATCCTTATTTGAAAAAACGATGATACTTCATGCCCTTATTTAAGAAAACGAAGGTGCTTCAAATCTTTATTTGGAATTTTTCCCAGTTGATTAAAGGTGGGTCTCGCCGGCCAATGCACAGTCAAGTCTACAATTACTAATTGGCAATATATTTGTTAAGATGGTTTACACTATGCATTGCCTATTTGAATTGAAAAAAGAAAATTCCGCATCCTCACCAGAACTCCCATCTCGCCAAGTGGCAAGTGACGCATTTAACAACACAAATTAGCAGACGGTAGGACGATTTGAGAGAGGAAAAGAAAAAGGAAAAACGAAATGACCATCTGGCAGGGGGAAGAGGATTTGCTGAGAGCTGCGTATCAGCTTGCACGTCTATGAAACCAAATTTTACAGGAAAATATTATCATTTTTTTTTAAAAACGACCTTTTTGAAATATATTCTTCAGAAATGTCGCATTTTTCGTAAAACAACAAATAGAGCTTTAAGGAAATAAAATCACTTGAACCTCCTCGAAAAACATGAGCATCATGAGTCAAACCTAGGCATCTCGCGAATTCATATGAGTCCTCACCTGGTGTTGTGGGCGTCTTGTGAATTCATCTTTTAATAATTGAAGTTTTCTCGTTACCGATAAATAAAAATGATATTACTCGAAATTGAAAGTAGTTTTATTGTATAAAGAAACAAATGCGCTACTTTCATTAGTTAACTAATTAATATTTATTTTAACCGACTTGCTGGCTGAGTACCCCTGGTTACAAGGCACCGTGCGTAATATTGAATTTAACTAATTAGTTAAAATAAAAAATTTGTATAAAGAAACAAATGTGCTACTTTTATTAGTTAACTAATTAATATCTATTTTAACCACATAGCTTATGAATAAAAGATATCAAGGAACAATAATACAAATAAAGAGCATAACTGGCATTTAGGCATGACAAGTGTCGTCGAGAGAATATGATGACGTTAGGTAAACATTTAATATTTGGTGTAAACAATTATTATATCTTATCGAGAATCATTTAATGAAAAACTGATAACAAGTTAGATAATTCTTACCTTTTTTTAACAAAAACAGAAAAAAAAAAAATGAAACCAAACGACGCCTAAATCATCTAAAAATATTATCTCATTTGTAAGACATGTAAGTTAGTAATTATATTATATTTTCAATATTTTCTAATCTAAAGATTTAAAATTTTCTATTTTACGAACAACTTTACGAAATAAAATTCTAAATCTTCGAAAGAAATTACCCTACCATTATGCATGTATAAAGTTTCAAGTTGGGTCCATAGTTCCTTTCTATTGATCATTATTCAAACATCTCGCAACAAGGTAACTTCGTAAAATCTTCTAAGTTCAAATTTTTTCAGACGTACAATACCTCGCATACTTATTTGCTAGTTATTTCAGAACGAAGAGAGATTGATATTCCATGCTAATTTCACGATAATAGATCGCATAATACTAAATGCTAAATGAACAAAAAAAAAACATAACTTGTTATTTTGCAGCAGAAAATCAACCATAGCTTACACCCCCACATATTGCATTTTCCTTAATTTTACAAAAGCCAAAGCAAACCATTAAAGCTTCAAACAAAAAAAAGGAAAAGTTCATTCCACCAAAACAAAAAGAGAAATTATTTATTCAAAAATAAAATTGACCGGATATTATCTAAATCTAAACTTCTAATTATCGTAAGTACGGCACTGGTCGGTCTCCGGGTGGTCCTTGCAGTAGCTCTCGAGCGGGTCCGACTCCTTCTTCCGGTCCCGCGCGTGGCTCGCCGCCGCGCTCAGCTCCTCCACCTCGTCCCATGCCGCCGCGCACTCCCCGCTCACCGGGTTCTCCGAGCACTTCTCCTCCGCCTCCCTTATGCTCTCCGCCACCTTCTCCCCTATCTGCTCCGGCGCCGCCGCCACCACCACCACCGGCCTCACCGACCGGCCCCCGATCCTCCCAGGGGGGCGGCGGCTCAGCCGCGGGAGGCCGAGGCTCTGCGGCCGAGGACGGGACGAGCAGGGCGGCCTGGTCACGAGCCTGGGGGAGGAGACGTTCGTGCCGGCGAGGGTCGCCATCGTTTTTCTGGTGGATTTCGGAGACGGTTATGTGAACGAAAACGAAGGTGAAGGCAACGACGGAGGGAAGATGGCCGAAGAGACATGATGAGGCGAAAAGGATTTTAAATGGGGGATTTTGGGGGGGATCGGTGACCACACGTTTCTTATCGGGCGGGAGCCAATTGCGTGCTGCCACGTGGGATGGGGTGTCAGATATTTCATGGCAACAAATATCCATGGGATGGGTGGATAAATTATTGCATCCGGTTTTAGACGACGTTGCACTTGGTAGGATGGACATGGGGAAAATTTCAATGCATAAAGCGCCCTAGCCCCATCACCGTTGGGGCGGCGGCTATGGATTACGACCCTCGCCAACCAGAGGCCCTCGTCAAAAGGCCCTCTTCCAGATCTGGAGAGGGCTGTTGGATCGGGCCTACTGATCTTGCCAGCCATTGCTGTCGCCCCCACTAGTGATGGGGCGGTGATTGCAGGTGGGGGCTGGCTGTCAGCCCTCACGCTTGTATTTTTTTATTTAATTTTTAATGTAATATTTTGAGTTTGTTTTATCATGGAAAGAAAAAAAAAAAGAAAGTAAGAAAGGAGAAAAAATTAAAAGACAAAAATGCCCTTTGATCCCGGTGAGGTCGGGTCTTTTTTTAAGATTAATATGGCCATTTTAGATGCTTATTTGAAATAAGCTTCACTTTATATCATTTATTTGAGAAAATGATGACATTTCGGGCCCTTATTTGAAATTTTCTCAATTTTTTTGGAATCGAGATTCATGGGGTCGATTCCCAGTTTTAGGTTAGGAACAAATTCACCTCGGAACCAATCACCCCTAATGATTTCTAACTTAGTTGCAAGTAACTTGTCTAATTGAGCTCGTGCTCCATCATGACACGGACTCCCGTTCGTGAGCTCTTAACACAAGCATGACGTCCGTCTTGAGTCATGACATATGAAGGCGGTGTAATCTGGTCTTTTGAGATTTAAATTGACCGGTTCAAAATTCCAAGGATGCATAATGGGCAAAAATGAAAATAGTATATGCGAAGAATTTCGAAGTATTTGAATTCTTGATTTAAGAACCCTGTTTTGCAAGTTAAAAGAGAATGGCTGTACAACTCCAAAATATAACAAGCTTGATCAAGACATGCACCATTGGATCTCATTTGTTGTACCGCAAGACTTAACTTGCAACTTTGTTCTAGTAAATGTTGTAAAATACACACGAGAGGAAGACGATTGCTTACTCATTTTGACATCGAACATACATTTCAAGGTTGCTTAGTACGATTTCTCAGCAGCCTCTGTAACTATAAAAAAAAATATGAATGTTTAAGATGCCTAGCTCATTTTTCAAGGTTGAAGTGCTACTATAGGTTCATACTAAATAGATTTTGAGCAAAAAAAAAAAACAAGAATTAGGAAAGTATATCTCATGAAATCTTCATCTCATGAAAAATGCGCTATATCTTTCGGAAAACAATTCGCCAACAATTTAAAACTGCAGCAACTTCATAACTAAAAGTTGAAAATTACGCCATTAAAACAATGTGTTTGTTCAAGTGAAAGTGTTTTCCGAAAATTAGTTTTTCGGACTTGCACTTGTTTGATTCGCCGAAAATGACTAGTTAATCAAAAAAACTTTTCGGTTAACCAAAATATCCATGCATAAAATTAGGAAAGTAAAATCCTAAATAAAAAAAGTGAAAACACTTTTCGGAATTGCTCTTCTCTCTTCCGAGCCAACTCGAAGCCGACTAGTTGATCGGCAATAGCAACAAGCCGAACGAGCTCGGCGACAATGAAATCCATCAACCAAGAGCCGCCGCACCTACTTGGTCGTTTCATATTTGTCATCTACATTTGTGCATTTGTGTTGCCGTTGCTCTATGCTCGCGATTTCATCGTCCAGATATCTTTGCCGATGCTTATTCCCTTCGGCCTTGTCGCTAAGTCTTGCGATCTTGCTATCCGCTCCGATCGTGAAGCCGAGTCGTTCCTCTTACTTTTGCTCAAGATAAATCATCGCCGTAGCAGTTGCCTTTGTCTCGCTCCGGTTCGTCTTCCCTCCGTTCGCCGCTATCAAACGATTCCTCATCAAATCGAGCGGCCTCCGTTTGCTGCTTAATTCCTCCGGCTCGATGTTGCTCTAACTGAATTTCAAATTCCATCTTTTTAACTCTCTCCGTGCCTTTGTCATTAGAGGTTCATCCAACACACTCACCAGGAGTTTGATGAAATGCCACGGCGCAGGACTAATCGAGACCCTTTTGCTTTTTACTCTCTTCTCGGTCGACGATTCTCATAATCTCAGCATGTCGCTCCGTTTCGCCTCGCCGTTTAGACAAGGTAAGATCAGGTTATTTCAACTCGCATTTTATTCACGAGATGATGGAAATCATTTTTCCAAACGAACATCTAAAATATCAGAAAATGTTTTCGGTCAAGACAGATCATTTTCCTCGAAAATGATTCATAGGAAAGCATTTTCCTTTGTCAAGGAATCTTCTCCCCCCTACAAACACGCCCGAAGGCTCGTCCAACACCCCTTTCGACGCGAAAAGGAAAAGGTGTGTTCTTTATTAGGCGAGCGCTTTGTGGACGGGATACACTGCGCCTGATTCCACACTGCAACTGTCCTTCCTCCTGTTTTTTCCACAAGCGAAGAAGACGACGGCCATGGACTACTATTAATCAATCATCCAATCCATCCCATTGAAATGATGCGTCCTCCCCACAAAGTCCACCACCACTTCCATCGCCTCTCTCTCCTCCATCTCCTCCCTCTCTCTCCTCCTCCTCCTCCTCCTCCCTCCTCCTCCTGGAGGCTCCGCAGGTTCTCGCCGCTCCGTGCGCCCGGCCACCTGAGAACTCAGCCGGCCGCGCCGTCCCGGACGACGATCATGGCCTCCTCCTCCTCCTCCTCCTCCAGGCTCCGCAGCCTGGTCCCCGTCGCTTCCGCCGAGGACGGCGTCGCGGGCGGCGGCGGCGGCGATGGCAATGGCTCCGCTTCTAGTGCTGCCGCGAGCGGCTCCGCTCTCGGCTATTACGAGGACGAAGGTAGCTGATGTGTCCGGAATTGGACTCTCGTCCGTTTTGCTTTTGTTTTAAGTGCGTTCGAGTGGGTCGTGTCGTCTGTTGATCGGTTATTCTCGGAGTAGGCGTCTGCGATGAGAGTGGATTGCATATCGATGGCGGAGATTTCAGTAGTGTGAATCGCGATTTATGCGGAGGGGTATTAGCCAATATGGGAAGAGAATAGAGAGACGTTCGGCAATTAACTTTTCGGGAGCAGGAGGTTTTGTAAGGAAAGCTTAACTTCGAGTGAGGCTTCCGATGTCTGGTCTCTCTGATGGATCCTGATAAATACGGCGTCGACAGTTTTGATATCTCCAGTTTTGATAGACTTTGAATTTTACGAGGTCTCTGTCTGAGAGGCTAAAGTAGTTAATTCCACTCCCCGCCTTTTGGTATAGGGGAAGTGAGGCCTGAAGGATGTTGGCAGTTGACCACGTTCCGTTCCACATCAAAACCTTGAAGTGGGCTTATGTCTAGTCTGTTGGGCAAAGATCAACACCATTTTCCTTTGTTGTAGTTCTAGAGTCTAGGCTCCAGGACAATGGCCAATGATCCGATTTCTCTTATTAACTTGTATGAGCTGATTTTGAGCTTTACAAGTAAAAGGTGGTTGCCTAGGCGTAAAAGCGGCAAGCCAAGCACACTCTATTTGAGTACCAAATCCACTTCGAGAGCTTCTTTTTTCTTACCCTTTCCTGTTAAATATTGAATTACGAGTAGGTCACTTCTATTAAAAAAGCGTTGCCTCATAATCTGTTAAGCTTGTTTGTTTGCATTCATCAATAAGCACTTAGAAATATAACTCTCTGTTGAAGGGTGGAACAATGCTTCCTTCAACTCTCTGATTTTCTGTTGGCATACTGAAGTTTTCCCTGGAAACTAATTATTTGCGTCTTAGCCCTACTGTTTTCAATATTCGGAAAACACAACTTTCCCCAGCATGTGCTCAACTGATCTTGGATTTAAACTTTTGGGGTTATTGTTGCTGTACAATTCCCAGTAGCAGAATACTTATTATGAATTACCTAATGCAGGTTCAGCTCTGGCTGGCACATATCGTCTTCCTCCGCCAGAAATTAGAGATATAGTCGATGCTCCCCCACTTCCCGCATTGTCATTCTCCCCACAAAGGGATAAAATTCTGTTTTTGAAGCGGAGAGCTTTACCACCTTTAGCTGAGCTTGCAAGACCAGAAGAGAAGCTGGCTGGTATCCGTATTGATGGAAAGTGCAACACCAGAAGTCGGATGTCATTTTATACTGGTGTAGGGATCCATCAATTATTGCCGGATGCTAAATTAGGGCCAGAAAAAGAAATACATGGGTTTCCTGATGGTGCAAAGATTAACTTTGTCACCTGGTCAAATGATGGTAAACATTTGTCCTTCAGCATTCGATTTGATGAGGAGGACAATAGCAGTAGTAAGCTTCAGCTTTGGGTTGCCGATGTGGAAACAGGGAAAGCCAGACCATTGTTTGAGTCACCTGAGATATTCCTAAATGCAGTTTTTGACAATTTTGTTTGGATAGATAACTCCACACTAGTAGTTTGCGCAATACCCTTGGGCTGTGGAGAACCACCGAAAAAACCTTTGGTTCCTGGTGGTCCAAAGATCCAGTCAAATGAGCAGAAGAATGTCATTCAGGTTAGAACATTTCAAGACCTGCTGAAGGATGAATACGACGAAGATTTATTTGATTACTATGCCACGTCTCAACTTCTTTTGGTTACTTTGGATGGAAAAGCTAAGGAAATTGGTCCACCAGCTGTATATACCTCAATTGACCCCTCTCCAGATGAAAAGTACCTTTTAATAACCTCAATTCATAGGCCATACTCTTTCATTGTACCTTGTGGAAGATTTCCCAAGAAAGTAGATGTATGGACTGCTGATGGACAATTTGTCAGAGAACTTTGTGATTTGCCCCTTGCGGAGGACATCCCAATTGCATTCAGTAGTGTGCGCAAAGGGATGCGCTCAATCCATTGGAGAGCTGATAAACCTTCTACCCTATATTGGTAATTATCTCAAAATC